CATTGTAAGGGAAAGCAGGAAGCGCGGAGTGAGGTCAGGTGCAGAGCTGCTGGTGGTGCAAAGCCTGTCTGGGATGTGCTGTGCTCGCTCCGTGAGACGATCACCGCCACAGCAGTCTTGTGTCCTGTTTCCGTAGTCTTGAGGAAGAATAGGCCAGTGAGTGGGACAAACTCTTGCATCAGAAAAGTCCCATTAATGGTGCCTGGAAGAAGTGTTCTGCAGTTCCCTCCCACTAGCTTGCTTCCTCTTAAATACGTAGATTTTAAAAAGAAAGGAAGCTGTTAAGTCTTTTGACTGTTGGAGGTTGTTTTTTTCTAACTGATGAGCAGCATTACTTCCAATGTATCATTGCTCCTGGATGTTTTCCACTGTGTAATATTGTAAAGCTTTGATGTGCAGTCTTCTAAATACAGTATCATTATTTCAAATAAAGAGACATCTTGTCAGACTAAATCACTGGTGGCCCTTTGGTTTGTCTTTTTGGAACAATAATGGAGAAGGGTTACTCCCTGGAGTAACCATTGATGAAAATACAATATACTTCAAAGTGTCCTTTATCTCTCAACTTTAACTTTGTTGTGCGAAGAGAGGAGAAAAGATACTGTAATAACTGTGTTCAGTGTCTCCCACCAGTTTCAAAAGCAGAGTGCAAACTTGCATGAGTTTGGTACGATTTTCAGTTTTTTTTAAAACAGTGGAATATTGGGCTATAAAAATTAGATGAAGGTATGTAGATTGTTGTTAGATAACAGAAATGCAGCTTGTGATATTTTCTGCTTTCGCATAAATGTTTTGAGAATTTATTTGTTTTAAATAAATTTTTAAAGTTTAAAAGTGTGGTATAGCAGAGTATTCTTTATAATGACAGCAAAAACTTTATGCTTGGATTTTTTTTTAATGTTTGTTGAAAAGTTTAATTAGCTGCCTGTGCTCAGTCTCCTGAGTTTCTTTGCTTACCCAACATGCTAAGTGTCATTATGGGAAACAGGTAAATGAAAATGGCCCACGTCTTGAATGTCTCCAACTGACAAACCAGTAATTAATCAAGCATCGGAGTGTACAGTTTCCAGCCTGATTGGTTTATTTTTAAACTATTTGACATCAAAGAAAACCATGTGACTCTTTTGCCTGCAAGAATATACAGGTGCTTAATGAGGCGGTGTTACAGGCAAAAAGAGTTTACTGATGGGGAACTTCAGTCAGTTTAATTTATTGTCACTTCTAATCGCTGATTCTGATGCAGAAAGAAAAACACAAGCAAAAGGGAAGAACCACCCTTTGCTGCTGCAAAGTCTCTCCTCCTGCTGCAGGTTACATGGAGTCGCTTTGGCCTGGCGATGGGTGGTGCAGGAGGTTGGGCTGGTGCATGGTAGTATTTTTGTGTTGTTCTCTTTGCAGCTTAGTAGCTGTATCACAGAAAACAATGTGTAGTGGTGTGTGTTGTCAGATTCACCAAAGGAGAGGCAGTAACACCACTGAAGTGGTTTCAACACTCTTAATATTGCCTTCCTTTATGACCACTTGGAATTCATCTTATGTAACATTATGCATTTCTGAAGCACTCATTTCATGAATTGGGAGGTACACGCCTGGGCAATGCTGGAGAGAATTAGAGCTTAGTACTTTATTTGTTGTCTCTTCCTTTCCAGCAGAGGAGCAGCCTCTGTGATGCTTTTGTTGCTTGTTAGTTCTTCTGTTGTTGTCAGATGCACCTTCTTAGGGTTGCCTGGCATATACACTTTTGTCACTGGCATGACTGACAGTACAAAGTATTTGGTTAAAGACATTTTCTCTCTAACTAGAGAAAGGGATGTTCTTAGAGCACTCTTTTGTGCCACTGATTTTGCTAAACAAATACGCTCTGCTCTGGCTACATGGTTGCAGAGAAAGGTTGCTGTTACTCTGATTAGGACATCCCTATGCCAGGTTGTTCACACAAAGACTCCTTATCTTTTATCTCCAGGTGTAAGGCCTTCTGGTTTGATTTCACTTAGTGTAATGTAATGCAATAACCTATGTTAGCCAGTTTGTAAAGCACAGCAGGGCAGGTTTGTAGAGTAAGATGGGCTGGATACGCAACACCTGTGCGGTGCACGTTGGGTGTAGGAGGGTCTGTCAGACTAGTACTTAAGTCTTGTGGACTGAATGTACATAATATATCTTTACTAATTTCCTTCCCTCTTTCTTCCACCTCAGGAGTATTTTTGCTACTTTACAGCTGCCACCATCTTTAAAAATAGCTGTGGAGGTGATGATCTAAATGTGATTAAATTCTTTTTTTATAGATAAGAACAAATAACAATACCTGTGATAAGATGAGCATTAGCAATACGAATGCAAGGAAGTTTAACCCTAATGATCTAAATGTCACTTGTGTTTGTGCCAATGTAATGGAAACATCTGATCAGGTTGCTTACAGCTGGATGACATGGCAGAGGGCAGCAGTCACCCACCTGTATGCCTCTAAAATTGCCGCCAGTTTATCTGTGTGGGACAGCCACTGGTTTCATTCTGCTGTTTCGGTTTGTGCGTGTGATCTCTGAGTAGCTGCCCAGAGCTGGACAGGGGCAGCATAGAGACAGGTGGCTGTTGAGCTTGTGTTTGCTGGATGTGAACAGAATGGAAGAGCTTTTGACCCCTGATGCTTCGACAGGGATGGTTCATTACTCCTGCCTCACCGTCTGTAATACCTTGGCAGGTCTCGAGCCTGTAACTTCACAGGAATCTGGGGTCTGTGAGAATGAACTTAATTTTCTGTGTCAGACTGAGTCAAACAGATAAGTTTGTTACTTGCGGTTTGTGCAGAGATGGATATATTTTTAACCGAAAACTAAAATAAAGGTTGTGGGTGGAAAGGGAAAGGAATTGTGGGAAGTGAAGCTAATTAATAGCCACTTTCTTTACCTATAAAGACTGTTAATTTACCTCCTTAATATGATGAGAAAAATAGCAGAAATACCTGTATGGTATAATGTCTATTTACTGAAGAGGACTTGGGAGAGAAAAATAGCACAATGCTGAGATACTTTTGTAGCTCACCTTTTACATATTGTTGTGGTTACTTTTTAAAATTATGATCTTTTCTAGCAGTAGGGCTGAATGGCCAGTGTGGGTTTCTGTATTTGTTTCCAATAGTTGTTCCAAAGGTGTTTTGTTTTTTTTTTTCCTCTGTTGGAAAAATTGGAATCTGGAAACAAAAGCTAGGTATGACTTGCATAAATCTTTTAATAAAAGAAACTGAAACTTAAAATTGTGTAGTATTTGAGGTTGGAAGGCACTTGTGAACATCTCTGACTACCCACCTTTTTTTCCCCAAGCAGGCAGCTGGAGCAGTTTGCTCAGGGCTGTGTCCAGTCAGCTTTGGGGGATGGAGATTCCACAACCCCCCTGGGCAGCCTGTTTCCAGGGGTTTGTTTTGTTCAAGGTTTAAGTAGAATTTCCTGTATTTCAGTGTGCACGTCCGGTCCTGTCACTGAGCATTTCTGAGAAGAGTCTGGCTGTGTTGTCTTTATTCCTTCCCTTCAGATATTTATATGTGTTGATAAGATCCCCCTGAGCCTTCTTGAGAGGCAGCTGAGGACGTCAGCCTGTGTGTGTTTGCTCAGTATAAATGCTGGGTCTAATCAAGTCGGTGCCACTCTCTTAGTAACTCACCTTCACACAAAGCCAGGAAAATAGAAGTTATAAGCTTAAAGAATACGCCTGAAATTTCTGACGTGTTATTCATACTACTTTCATATGAAAATACTTAGTGCATCATTTCCTCAATTTGCAAATGATGAACTGTGGCATGTTGTTTGACAGGGTAGCATTTGCAGAGTATATGGACAAGCAGGTTGTCCCACCTGTGCTCTTCTTGTTCTCCTCAAAAGCTAGTTCTGCTGTTACGGTTATACCAAATCACTATAGAATTTGGAGTTCCTTATTTCAAATCTTTTATCCAGATTTCTTCCTACATTTGAAGTGCATTGTAGCTAATGGGCCTGCTCTCGGTGTTTGGGAAGCAATCAGTGCTGTTCCTGAGATTCACTTCTGGCATTCATTATTTCAGTTTTTCTTTCTTGATTTAGAGCTATCCAAGTTTTGTACTTAGCCGTGGTGCCTTTTAGTAACAGAAGTACTATAAAGCTGCTTGATCAACCAGGTAATCAGACTTTGGGATAGCCGAGCATGAACACACTACTATGTTTTTAAATTATGAAAACTTGATTTCCACACGGCATTGTGTGGGCCTAAGCGTTTTTCTCAAGGAAAAGGAACTAATTCTCCAAAGAAGGGTCTGTTTCCCCTTTCAGTAGCATCCTTTTTCCCCAGACTGGCAGCATAAGTGGTTTAATTTTTAATTTGAGATAGGAGCACACTGTGCATTCTGCAGAGGATTAAGACACTTTAGCACATTAGCTTAAAAAATAAATTTCACTCCGTACCAGTTAGCTTAAGGAACTGTATTCCGATGTCTTGAGTCCTGTTTAATTTCTTAATCCTTCTGTTGATAGTGTTCGGATAAATTTCTCATGGCTGTGATAGATTCTTAGATTTCTTAATCACCGCTTTTTTTTTTTTTTTCTTGTTTTAGCCTCAAGGAATAGGTTCACCTAGTGTTTACCACGCTGTTATAGTGATCTTCTTGGAGTTTTTTGCTTGGGGACTCCTAACAGCACCCACTCTGGTGGTAAGTGCTATGCTTAAGCTTTTTCTTGCTTTACATATGGGAGGTGAGGTGATTACTGAAAAGGCACTGAACATCTGAATTAAATGAAAACGATGTATCGTTGAGCTGCTCTGTTGTGCAAGTGAGAAGTTTTGTGTTTTTGCATGGAATTGGGAATTTAAAACTATTTCATTAAAGCAGTGTAATGATGCAACATAGCTGTTTATGTGCAAGTCTGCTAACACTCAAGCTTACGTGTAAATATTTGCTGACTTGAAACCAGCAAGACAGTAATGAAATTATCCTTCCTTTCAAGATGGTACAAAAAGTTGGTGCATTGCAAAAGTAAGGACAAAAATACACTTGAAATTTGGTAAAATTATGTAAGCATGTGTTTGTAGGTAGGGAGATCTTTGCTGACCTGGCTGTGCTTTGAATGGAAGCTTCAGAGCGCAGACCCTCTTAACACCAGTCAGAGCTTCCCTGTGATTAGTGAGACAGTCATAACAACAGGTTTGTACCAAATTATTTCTAATGTAGTTGGTTGCTTTTCATTTGGATTTAATCTTTGAGAGTGACACATGCTTACAAATTAAAAGGAGCAAAGGCTTAAAGACCTCCAAGCAAGCTCCACCTAAAATGCAGTCGCAGTGCGGCTCTGTTAGCTCATGTTAACCATGAACAGTCTCTTGGATATGAACTGCACACCGGTCGCTGAATGGGATCCATCTCACATAACATAGGTCACGCTCAGAGAGGTGCCTGTTGTAACCTGTGTATCAAGGCTCTGGTCACCCAGTTGAGAGGCACGTCAGAATGATCTCTTTCTCCCCAGCGCCCTACAGATGGCACAGTAACATGTGGAGAATCTGGTCTGAGATAATTTTCTAGGTTCTCTGTGGTCTATTTAGATTTCAGACACCAAAGTTAGATGACTTAAATCCTTCCCAAAGTGTTGAGAGAACTGAGGCCTCTACCAAGTAAAGCTAAAACCTCACCATGTCAATTTAAGATTAAATAGATTATTTGTGGTATCTTTTTTTTATTTCTCTGTATTCTGTGAAAATATAAAACTACTGTGGGTGTGCCACTGTAGAAGTTGGATGAGTCGTGAGCAATATTTATAGTTAGTATTGTGTAAATGACAGTTTGTGTTTCTTCTCCAGGTTCTGCATGAAACCTTCCCAAAACATACATTTCTAATGAATGGTCTAATTCAAGGAGTAAAGGTAAGTTGACGACAGTTAATCACGAGTACAATTTAAAGTGAATAGTAGGAGGAATATAGAAATGACTGCCAACTGGGAGAAACATTCAGGAGGTTTTTCAGTATAACTTTCACGGTATAAATAAAACATGGGAATAAATTATTGCTAAAAAAGCCAATACGCATCATTTTACTTTTAGTATGATATTGTTTAGTCTGTACCTGCTGTTTGGGTTCAACAAATAAAAAGGTAGTTGACTAATCCCAAATGACACACATAGCGTTAAAATTTGAGAATTTTTTACTTGCAGCTTGTTGCTCCAGTAGGGTGTTTTCAATTACTTATGTGAATTCTAAATATATAAAGCTGTAAAACACAGTTCATAAAACTGCTGGTATGACTGGATCATCTACATTTTGAGTTTTGTGCAGCTCTGAGGTAACAAATCTCAAATTTTGTGTAACCAGACATGAGACAGAAGATCAGTAATGCTTGACCATATTTCTTTTGATGTATTGCACTGTGTGGTCATCAACTTCAATAAAAATAGAGCCCAGCCTGCTATCAGAGTGTGGAAGGGTCGGCTATCACGATTCTAACGACATAGTTCTAATTTAAAATGTTCTTTTTTTTTTTTTTTTTTTTTTTTAGGGCTTATTATCATTCCTCAGTGCCCCACTCATAGGTGCCCTGTCTGATGTGTGGGGACGAAAGTCCTTCTTGCTGCTAACAGTATTTTTTACTTGTGCTCCAATACCACTAATGAAGATCAGCCCGTGGTTAGTAAATTCTTTCACACTGCATTTGGCATTTCTTGTCAAGGTTGCTGTATAGTGCTTTTGTTTGTAGCATTGTTGGTAAAATACAGTTTCTGCTCCATGGAAGGTTGAGGCTTTTGTATTACTGCGGTGCACAGTTGGGAGAACAGTCAAACTGAAGTAGCTGCCATGAGGCCAAATGCCTTGGTAAGAATGTTAAGAGCTGCTGGTTTTGAGCTCTGTGCTGCAGGCCCCACTTCCTACTTCAGCAGATTTGCAAAAGATACTAGAATGCTGCCCAGTAAACTGCAGGTCTTCATTGTGGCCACAGTACTCAAATACTAACCAGCTATGCAGAAATGAAAACCTCACCTAATGCGAGCTAGTGCATGAAGTAACCATTTGTAAGGTAGAACGTTGCTGTAGTTTTATACTTTTTTTTCTCAAGTTTTAAAATCTGCCAGCTTTCATGCCGTGTGCAAGTTAGTAAGCTCACAACTGGCACATACGTTCCTTGGGCAGTGCTTGAGTCAGAACTCTCAGTGTTGTTGGCCCACCTGTGTGCTGTACCTGAGGGTGGAGCTGAAATAACACCGAATGCGCTGAGGCAGGGCAAAACCAGCTGCTCAAGCACCTCCGTGAGACTTTTCAGTTTTCTCTCCCATCACACATTGTTCATGGATTCTTCATCCCTTTTCTAGGAAGTAGCTAGTTTTCAAGTGTAGATTAATGTTTCAAATGATGACTGATAGTGTCTATAACATAAAGATAAGGCGAATGTTGAGACCTCTCAATGAACAGATTCTCAAAATATTGAAGTTCCTCATTTGCCTTATGTCATTGGCGCCCAAAGTTAGTCTAACACCTCATTTCCTAGGGTACTTAGTCACAGCAGCTTTTTGGAGATGTTACAAAATTCTGCTGTTTATCTTTGTACTCGGTGCGCTAAAGAGGAATTACATGACTCTATCTAGACACATTCACATTGGCTTTATCCAAGTTTATCTTAATATTTGTTGCGAAAACTTGGACAAGATGATTTACTGTTGAACTCTACTTGGATTGTAAATAGAAAATTTTGTTTCTGTTTAGCTGTTCTATTTTTTTTATCATGTTCCTAGGTGGTACTTCGCTGTTATCTCTGTCTCTGGAGTTTTTGCAGTGACGTTTTCTGTGGTTTTTGCATATGTAGCAGACATAACCCAAGAACATGAGAGAAGCATGGCCTATGGTTTGGTATGTATTTTTTTGGCTCTGTTCCTGTGGTATTCAATACTAAACACTTCAGTAGGCAAAGCTTTTCTAAATTGTATTTTTGTTACTTCTCTGGCAAGTTGATTTTACCTTGGAGTAAGGTTTTTCAGTTTAATTGTTCTTGTCATCCAGTCCTGTATCTCTTGACTATTCCGCTCCTAACTTAAACTAAAGATGACCGCATTAAAAGCTGTATTTCAGATCTGTGTCTTAACAGTTATTACAAGTGTTAATGAAGTAATCTGAAGGAATTCAGTTATTCCTCTGTTGTTTTTCACCCTAGTACATTATCTGCTGATAACCTGCCAGGTCTCAGGCGCCTTCACAGCCTTGTGTTACGGATTAGCAGAACTATTTGTTGCATTCGAGTTACAGAAGCCATTATCATATTCAG